TCAATGTGTTTTTGTGCAGTTATTCTTCAAATGTAACTGGGTTGCACTCTCACATGCGGACACTCCCATCTGTTCCTGGAATGTGGGCTGACGTGTGACCCGCTATTGATTAGGACCACATAATCGGGGCTCTGTCGTCATTGTCTGCTGCGAGCCCGTCTAGCATTGTCCCCCCCGCGCACCACATTAACCAGAATCACAAGTGTTCAGGCATTTGCTCACACAATGATGGGCATTATAACATTCCCACCTTTTCAATTAAAGCGTTGCAAAGTGTTGCTTTTGCTTTTTTTCTGGTTGGCATGTTGCACATTTCATCTGAAGTGTGTCATGCAGTATGAGACGCACACTATTACGGCCATGGTCTTGACTATGTCCCGCCCTGCTTTGGTTTAAAGTCTTACAATATTCTCACAATATTTTCTTGAAAGCCCCTTTTTTTAAATTTTACAAAAGAATCCAAACGTTTGACTATTGCAATGTTCAAGATGCTCACTAAACACAAAGAGCCCGTTTATCAAGTCGCAAACGAAAATCAAAAGATTTACGATTTAAAGAACTGTGATCTATGGTTGTATGAATTGAACTTGGGCTGCTGGGTGTCCTGATTGAGTAGTTATTACACTTCTTATCATGGCAATACCATTTTTTTGGTGTCCCAAAACACCCATAAAGTGCAATGGGCTTTAGAAGGAATCAGGAAACATTTATTGCCAAAATATGTCAAACATACAAGGAATTTGTCTTGGCGGTTGGTGCGTGACAGTAGACAGTGTAACAATAGACAACAAGACAGCAGTGCACAAGTAATAAAATAAAATGAAATGCTAATGCAATGGGTTAGTAGGATAAGGCTATGGGTTAGTATAAGAGAATAAAGTTAAAGTAAAAAATGTAAAATAATAAAAAAAAAAAGAAAAGAAAAAAAAACTATCGAAAAAAAAAGCACTATCGAACAAGTGACAAAGTGACGACAAAGTGAAAAATGACAGTTAAAGTGACATGTGCAGTGAGAAGGGGAGTGTCAGTCAGTGGGGGACTGGGCTCTGTTGATGAGCCGACGGGAAGAAACTGTTTGTGTGGCGGGAGGTCTTAGTCCTGATGGACCTCAGCCTCCTGCCAGATGGAAGGGGCACAAACCGTTATTGTCGGGGGTGAGAGGGGTCGGCTACAATCTTTTTAGCTCGCTTCAGAGACCTGGAAGCAAACAAGTCCTGCAGGGACGGCAGATTGCAGCCGATCACCCTCTCTGCAGAGCGGATGACACACTGCAGCCTGCCCTTGTCCTTGGCTGTGGCTGCAGCGTACCAGATGGTGATGGAGGAGCACTGCAATGGCACCTCCGAGAACACTGACGGGATCACAGTCCTTGTTTGTGTGTGTGTGTGTGTGTGTGTGTGTGTGTGTGTTCAGGCTTCAGCCTAACAACAGGTAAACGGCCCGGCCACAGCACATGGGACCTTTTTCCTGAACGCTGCCGGTAGATAAAGTCCTTTACGAAGCTCCACAGTGCCGGTGTTTGTGCAGCTGTGTGTACTTCAGCAGCAGGTAAAGCAGAGGAGTCGAGAACAGGTAGCTGCAGTGTCCTCCTCCTCCTGCTCTAACAGGTAAACAAGACTGCTCAAACCCGCAACTCCAATGACAAAGGTGTTTGGCTTGGATGTTTGCTCATGGGCATTTGAAAACATGCGGACCGATGCTTATCGGCCGGCCCTGTTGACACAGCCGGCTACTAGCCACACACCGTAAAAAAGGCACACGGTGGATAATTATTTTAGGCCATAAGCATCTCCCAAGTTCATTAGTCGGCGTAGCATAGTGAGCTGCGTGACTTATCAGTATTTATCTCCTGAAATTCTGGTGTAAAGCCGCGGAGAGGCCTGTCAACACATACCAGACAATCGTGTCCCCCTTTGTGCGACTGTTTGTTTTCCCACAGCATCATTGTTTTGCAGCCGGCCGAAAATAGAACAAAACATGTCCACTCATCAACATGCAAAGAGACAAAAGGATTTGGCAAGACAAACCAGTTTTGATCCTATTTTTAGGTGCGCACAGAAGATTGTTTCGTTCCGTTTTGTTATTGAAGGTTTTTCCTTCCCCGCGTCACGTGAAAGAGAGGCGGACGTGTTAACCGTTCCACTGTAGCCTCTTTGTATCTGTAGCTGCCATCGGAGCAGGACAAATGAGACCATGGTGGAACAAGGTAGGATCAAGCCTTCATGGGATGATTGAACGAGACGGGCCGTGCGTTCATAGATACGGATGGCTGCTCTTCTCCTTAGAGCGCTCCGAGCGCTTTGAGATTTGGAGTATTTGGACGTCTTCACAAAGTTCTGTCTTTACTGTTTTCTCATTTACAGCAAAAACGCTTGTGCGCTTGAGCGCCATGAAGTCCTGCGCTGTTCTGCTCAGATTTCACCTCCATTTGACTTTAAGCCCTTATGTGGAAAGAGCAGCGGAACATGACGAACAAAGAGGGATTCGACATGTCCAGTGTTGTTCGCGGTTCTATCGCTCCAACAACAATATACGACACAGTGCTCATTTAGGGTGTGATTGGGCGGCTCACAGCTCTCCCACGTGGACCGCCGTCCAGTCCAGTTCTTAACAAGGGCAGTGGGTCTCGGCTAAGTTGGACTTTTTTTTTCTTCCCCATAACAGGGATGCAGCTTAAATGAAAAGCTATGGGGGGGGAGTTGGAGAGCTGGGAGAGTTCAGCCTGGTTTTACAGCTACAGCCCCTCATCTTCCCAGTGCTTAGACAGTGATCGATGGGCTTAGACATGCTCTGTAGGACAGGCGGTGGGTGGGTTAGCTCATTTCGCTGTGTTCTCCTCCCCCTTGATCTACTTCACCAGGGAAGTTTACTAGATTTTGAAAGAGTGCGTGAGACAGAGAGGGCGGGAGGGAGGGAGGGAAAGAGGGGGAGGAAAAGGCACACAGCCAGCTGTTTGTGAAAAAAGCTGATTCGAAACCGATCGCGATTGAGACCCTCTCTCGTTTTGCATGGAACATTTCTGCGAACATTTTTTTTAAAAAAGGGCAAACGTTGTCCCCACCACCCCTCTCAGTCAGACCAAGCTGTAAATGATCTTGTTAGTGAATTAGGCATCAGCTCCTTGTCCTAATAGAAAACACTCGTTCTATTTTCGGTATACGACAAGGCCTCCTAAATGAGGGGTCTTCCCTCGTGGTCAAGAGAGCTGTGGCTGTCCTGCGTTAATACGCCAGCTGAAGGATGCCAGGAATAGCCCAGCTGGGGTTGAGCTGACCTCTTGGAACTGGGCAGCGCTCCAGGTCTCAATTAAGTGATGCTCTCTTTTCCCAGAAAAGGCAATAATATTTAAATGGGGTTCACAAGAGGGCTTTCTCTGAACGCTCCTTTGGAACGGTGTGGCGCTGAACTGCGTTTTTCATGCAATAACAAAACGCCACACTACAATGAAATTATTTAGAAGGTCACTTGGGTAGTTACACTGTTGACTTTTGTGGAATCTTTTCCAAAGAAGTCCACACCCCAGTGAGAAATGAGCTAATACCGTTGCGTAGTGCTGATTGAACTTATGTGGTAACAACACACACACACACAGCAGCACAGCTCTTCCACCAGCATCAATAAGGTCAAACACGAGTGTGACGAGTGTTTCAGCCTGATAAAAAGTAAAAAATGAAGAAGTCTTCCTCCTTCAATACCTCAGCAGTACTTCAGCTTAACAAGGGAGATAAGATCACAATCTGCACATCCTGGGAGCAAAAAAAAAAGAGCGAGAAAGCAAAGTGTTACGACTAGAAGAACTGCTAACATGTCAAAATAACGTTTTGTGGGAGGAAAGATGGATCTCGTGTGAAAATATAATGTGCGAGTCATTTTTTTTTTTAAGTAGGAAAAGAGCCAAATGGTTCGGCGTGCACAGCACAGCACCGGCAATGCTGCTGATCCCCAAGCAGCTCATTCGCCCATCGTTAACTTTAGCCCTGAAATATCGACGTTTAACGCAGGGCTGCATGGATGTTTCCATTAAACCAAGTGGGAGGAACACCTCTATGAAAAGCACAAGAGACACGCGTGCTGCACCGTGTGATTGGGGAGAGGGTTGGGTTGGAGGGGGGGGGGGTTAGCCTTGCAGCAGTGGCTGTTTTAAGGAAAATAGAGGGCCCGCCAGATTCCTGTGTGTCACCACCCTGCATGTAAGAACTTTCCCTGGCGGAGGTGCTTCCTTGGAAGATGTCCAACCCCCCCCCCCCCCCCCCCCCCTCACCCCCCGCTTCCCTTCCTGGTCTGTCTTCCTCTTTTGTCTCCGAACACAGAGGCCCCTTCAGAAAGCCACTGGGAAAAACATATCCACTGTTCTTCCTTCATGCTGTTCCAGTCAACAAATACAACAGCGGTGCTGTTGGTGTGAAAATCAACACGTTGCATTGTAGCCGTCTCTCGTTTTGCATCAGAACCTGTGCTTCTGCTGCTTTTCATGTGTATACGACAGGGCCGGGGGGGGGGGGCATTTACACACGTAGACCACTGCAGCCCCAGTGACTCAGGCCCAGGCAGATGTAGTTTGATTGGAGCAGAGCTGCTGCTGCCGTACACCTCACGTGCGACGAGCCCGCAGTCTAGCGATGGAAGTGTTTTTCGGTGAAAGAGTTGCGCTTCTTTCTTGTAGTTTGACGGGGGGGATATAAGCACAGGAAATACGTTGGTAGGAAGTAAACACCTGCCAACCGCCCCACCACCTCGCACTGCCTCCAACGCACACTGAACCACACACAACCGCATGCGTGCTGCAGCACAGTAACCCGACTCAATGGAGCCGACTTACGTTTCTCTGAGGTCTGTTTGATCAACAGCTAACATCCCAACTGAAGTCCAGCTGTTGACTGCGTGTTGCCACGGCAACATTCTGCACGGCGTAGAGGGAAACTAATCCGAATCTTAAATTGAGTTTTTTTAACTTCTAAACGATCAACACGTGACTTTCTTATTCCCAATTCATTCGCCAGGCTTGGAAGAAACGCTGGTTCATACTGCGCAGTGGCCGCATGAGCGGTGACCCCGATGTCCTCGAGTACTACAAGAACGACCACTCCAAGAAGCCCATCCGGGTCATCGACCTGCACTGCTGCGAGCAGGTGGATGCCGGCCTGACCTTCAAAAGGAAGGAGTTCCAGGACAGCTTTGTGTTTGACATCAAGACCTCGGACCGCACTTTTTATCTCGTAGCCGAGACGGAGGAGGAGATGAACAAGTGGGTCCGCTCCATCTGCCAGCTGTGTGGGTTCAACCAGTCGGACGACAACCACGGTAGGACACCCTGACCCGTCTCCGCTGTTACCTGTATCAAGTTTAACGGTCCAAATAAAATCATTATAAACTCAAAACGTGACACTTTTTAGGTTTGCTCAGAAGTCATTTGGTCCTCTATTGGGATTTTAACTTCAATGTTCAAACAGTTAGTTGGTACAGCAGACAATGAAGCTTCCGGTATGATAATATTTGCTGTAATGATTGATTGATTAATTAATGAATTAATTAGAAATGAGCAACATAATACATCCAACTTAATTATGAATGGTTATCTTTTTTTCTTCGTATTATAATAACTTTGCAGGTTTTGGACTGTTGGGGAGGCAACAAGCCTTGCGTTATGTTTTGAAAATAGTGATTTTTCACAAATGATTTACATTTTATTGGCTGAATACAGGGAACAGCATAGATGAATTATGAACAAGTATAATAAACATATACTGTATCGTTATGTATGAATATAATGTGGCTTCTTGTCTGAAGCCGAATACAATAACTCTTCCCTTTTTATCAGTCTCCCTCTGTGCTTTCCCATGTTATTCCGAACAGATTGCATCTATTTCACAAAAGAAAATCAGCTGCAGAGATTCAGTCACATGACATCACTTGCAATTGTGTAATTTCCCCCTTTGCTATTTTAGAGAGTGCAGTGGGAACATCCCTGCCAAATAAATGGACACAGTGTGTGAGGGTGTTATTGATTTTTGTTTTGTTAAAGAAGGGGTCCAACTGTTGTATTCAGCATGATGGAAATTCTTTGTAGGGGCCATTTGGAAATTTCGCAGCAGATACGGAAGCGGCTCGGTTCTGTTTTGGTCTTTTGTGCAGTAGAAGGGCTTGCGTCGCTTCGAGGCAACCATTAATGAGAAGGAATCCACTAGTGGCACTCTGAAGCGCTCATCGGGCAAGACGTGATCATGATAACATTTTTATGCTGAGATGAGCTGAGATGTTCTATCTGGAACAGAGAAGAGTAATCCTTCCCAAGAGTTACCTTAATTACCTCAATCTGATCTCTAGTCATTAAAAGAAACAAACGCACAGCAATTGTGAGATGAGTCAAAACTAAAGTTGTTAAGATTCGACTCACCTTTATACATACAATTGTTGTTTTAAGATTATTTCATGCTAACGATTTAACAATAGTAACATTGTAGTACACTGTCAAAACAGAAAAGTGTGCAATGTCTTTGCGGTGGCTTGTAATGGTAGTTAAAACTAAAAAATGTTGGTGACATATTTATGTAAACAGAACCGTTGATAATTGAGGTCAGCCAATATGATCGAGGTCATGATAGTGTATCGTACGAAAGATAATAATGTTATAATGGTGACCGACACAATTCATAAGAGTGTACATTTCATGCAAGATTTGGCAAAACACACACACGTAACCACTTCTCATATTTTTCGTCGTTCCCTTCCAGATTGCACTCATGTTGTCTTTGCACGCCATCTGGCAGCTGATGGACGTTAATCTTTGTGCACATGGTTGATCATCTGTAACATGCGATGTGTCCAGGTGTTTCAGTGAAAACCGCTGTGTAACAATGCTCACAACAGGAGGGACTCCCTCTGGGCCAGGTTTGGTAATTAGCAAGGCCCCCGTCTCACACTGTATCGACTGTAGCCGGCGGGGTGTGGCTTGGCGAGAGGGTCCGGGGGAGTGAGAGGGTGTATGTCATGACAGCTGTGATGGTGGTTGCAGTCGCTCCCGTGTAAACATCACGTCCAAGATTTATTTGATTACGTAGATTTTACTGAAATACGAGGTTCCTCTTTAAACTGAACTGTGTGCATTTTCCATTCCCTGTTGTAGTTGCTGGTAAACTAGAAATTAGAATTTCTAATTCTCAGAATCATTTATGTCAGAGGACTATTAACAAACATTATAAACCAAAACTAACACCTTTTTCAAGTGTTTCAATGCTCTAGACGGGCGTGGGAAATGTTACACTCTTCTCTGGCTCTTCTACCACTTCATATCTTTAAGCTTTTAAGTATTAATAGTAGTCATTTTCCATTTCCTTAAATTGTGAACTAAACATCCTGGAAAAAAAGTGGTAATGTAGATGTTATTCTTTCATGCATCTGCTCCTCAAGGGCATAGCTGCTCAATTTACCACTGGTTCCCTATTACGTCATTGCTGCTGTCTTAAAGGCATAGCACAGGTCTTTGGAAGTAGGCTTGTAGGTTCTATACTAATCAATAACCTGCGTATCACCTAAAGCGGATGGCATTCTGCATGCGCCCAGAAGCAGAGCCACGTACTGTTGACAGGGTCCACAAAGTGTATTTTGGACCTTTTTTTGATGATGTGCCTCTCGATCTCTGAAGGGTAACTAATGCCAAAGACACCAGTCGTTTAATCTCAAAGAGAGAGACAGTATGTGGGAGGAGGACGTACCGCACCTGCATCAGTATTCCTCCTGCAATGTCTCCAATCTTGATCTTTCAGCCTGTGAGATCGCGGTGCTCGGGGGGCCGAGCGAGGGTCTCACAGCGGCCAACACATTAACAGTACCGATCGATTGATGCAGAAACATGTACTTTTGTGATTACGGTGTGATGAAGCGACTCAGACAGACATGACAGACACATAATCGGAGCTAACGGAGTTAGTTAGTTAGTTAGTTAATTCGTCTTATGAAAAATGAACATGCAGACAGAGTCAAATGTTTGCAGATGTTTGTTTTAATACAGAGGCAGGCAGAGGGTGTTAAAAAGAACACCTTCTAGGTGTCTGAGATTTATATTGATGGAATTCTGAACCCATAATGTTGCGTGCTGTACACTCTTTTCTACACATTTGTTCCAACTGGAAGTCTAAAGTTATCATAGAGATCAATCAGGCTTAGCTACACAATAGTGTTAAGCTGTGTAGAAGTGTTTGGGTTTCTCAGAGGATTTTGTTGAGACTCTGGCTCCATCTGTTATATCAGCGCCTTGATCTGAACTTACCTTTAGTCATTCAGAGTCGGCCTCTGCTGCTGATGGTGAGCTGCCTCTGGGGACTGTGAGGAAGGTTGGCCAAGGGCAGCACATGACTGCAGCTCATTGTTGCACAACTTTCCCGCACTTTCGGTCTCTCTCTTCTCTTTTTATTCTCTCTCACACACTATTCCCCATGCACTATCCACCGTGCACCCCCCCCCACACCCCCACACACACACACACACACACACATTGACCTGACTGGGACATTCATTGTGTGGACAGTACCTTGTACAATTAGATATTGTGCTGATGCTTTCGTGCTTTTCAACGCATTCTTCCAGGTTTAATACAAACTTATAAAAAGATTAATTAAAATAATTAATTCACCCCAATTACAATCCTGGTGGTGACCAGGAACTCGTTTTGTGCTGTTAATATTTTAAGATGTTTAGTTCTAAATAACAATTTAGCAGTTCTTCTTTTACTCTAAGTTATGTGAATATAGTTTTGCACATGGGTCATTTTAAGTAGAAAGTAGTTCCTCTGAGGTCTGTCGACTATCCGGGAATGACTGGACATGATTTTGAATTTTTGAAAGCTAATTCTTAAATGCATTGCGCGGCAAAAATGCAATTCCATCCACACCGCTCAATGTGGTGAGAAAAGAATATCTTCAATTATGAGACCTATTGTGACATATGGTCCTTAACACGGACTGTGCAAGAAGCAAGCTATTTTAAACGTCTTATTTTATCCTAATCTTTCTGGCGTGATAAACAGAGAAACGGGTCAGTATTACACATGAAACAATTTGTACATACATACTACATATGTACAGTGCACACAAACAGAAACATCCTCTCTGCTTTGGCTTCTCACTCTACACATGGACGTCCGTCTCTCTCGCCTCCCAAAGTGCCCTTCGTGTGCATTGATTTTTTTTTTTGTTGTTGATATAACGAGACTCCATGGCCCCGGAAGGTCAGGTTTCGGCTGCCAAAGAGCTGTCTGAGGTCCGTCTGCTACTGATGCCACCGCCATGCGTCCCACAATACCACCGGCGTCTTCTACAAACATGCGATGAAGACCTGAGACATACAAATCACATAGAAAATCGTGAAAAAAATAAAGGAACCCTCTTGAATGTTGACGCTGTGGATGTTACAGAGGAAATGGACACCGGGAGCCCGTCTTGCACCAACACGTAGGGCAAAGCTACTTGCTTTTGGAAAATAAAGCAATATGTCCGTGGGTGTTATCGTAGCTGTTATCGGATACTGATGGCTGAGTGTGCGGTGTGTGTGTGTGTGTGTGTGTGTGTGTGTGCATCCAGGGAGACCCACCCGCGAGCACAATCTAATGAATGGAACATCATCCCGTCAATCATGGGCTTTGTTCGGCTCTCTCTCAGCTGTTTGAACTCTGAGACGAGGATAATCTCAAACTTAAGGATTCGGGTTTTTACTTGTCACCGGTCGTCTTTTTCTTTTCTTTTCTTTTTCTTTTATTGTTCCCTCTTTTTGCGTGACGGCTCTCACACTGTTTTATTTTCTCTTCATTTGTTCCGTTACCCCGGCTGTCCCTTGGAAATAACAAGTCTATCTTGTTTTTCAGTTAAACTGTTGCCCTTAAGATGGTGACAATTGGGGAGAAAAAAGAATAACCACTAAATCAGCATTTCCAAACAGCAGGCTCAGCAGTCTTTGTCAAATAGCTACTGAAAAGAGATTAGATTCATTCACCCCAATTAGAGATTAGATGTATTCTAATCTCTTCATTAAACCCCACGTGTTGATGATTGATAATTGGTACACCGAAGAAGTTAGTTTGACTGAATCAATCAACCTTATTGTGACATTTGCATATCAGTTTCCAAAATAATAAATGTTCATTTAGTCCACCCAAGACTTCTCCGCTTGCTCATTCTTGCAAAGGCACTGCAGGTATTTGCAGCCTCTGTGAAATAGTTACCGTCTTTAAAGATGATACTGAAGTTGTGTTGGTTGCTTGCTTTTCAACTCAATAGTGGTTGCGCCAGAGAAATGTCAGTTAAACACTGACTAGTGTTTAACTAGTGTTGGCAACACATAAACCTCCTCCAACAAGGGCAATGCCAAAGGAATTTCACTAAATGCTACAAACCGAAAGCAACCAGGCAGTTACGTGATGTTGTGAAATCCGTATGCTGAACCAGAGAATCAGCAGCCTAAAAATAAAAATGCTGCTGATTCTCTGGTTCAGATATTTTTTTTGACACAAGCATAGCTGACCTACATTTCTCCTCCTTCTTGTTGTCCTTAATCCTTGGTTATCCTTAAGAGTCATTGTGCACAGACTCGGGTCGTATGCGTAGCCACTTTTTATCTTCGGGCTGCTCAATTGTTAAAATGACGCGTTTACTATCGGCCCCGTGGCAAAGACAATCCCTCTAATTGCCGGCTGCTGCCCGGCCTAAAATCACATTAAAACTGCAAATGGACTATTCTGGATGGGGACTGTTTATATGCAATTTAGCTCCTGTAAGTAGATGTTTCTACCGGTCTTCATCTTGTAATCAGCAATTGTGAGTCGTGCAGGTCGGCCTGCCTCTTCTGTCACGCCGCTGAACGTAATTGGTCAGCTGCTAGTGTTAAAGCAGATAAATGTATAATTACAGAGCTGCTGCTTGTGTTCACGAGTGCGCAGACATTTCATGTCACCGTTTGGAGCAGATTTACAGCATGGCTGCAAGTGGAGGACATTCTTCTTGTCATTGATGAAGAGGGGAACTGCTGCTTGTTTTACTTTTAGAGCCAGCTTAAAATTGTTTCTTGTCTTATTGTCGCTTTTAAGGAGTTTAGCTCATATCCGCCAAAACAGTACGTTTTTAGTATTTCATTTAGTAGACCAAAAAAAAAAGACCACGTTGGCTGTGGTTTTGCCGCCAATGTTAACAGGTGACCAAGTTGCTTATAAACACAGTCAAGGTGAATTGATTCAGCCCAGAATCGAATGAATGCCACCGTAAAATGCACTTAACTCTATTGGAGTGATTGTATAAAGCACCCTGACTAAATCACCAAGAATCACACTCTCCATTTATCATGATCTCCACACCGAGCGTGTTCCCATTTCGTCATGCGCTGCATTGTCAGAGAAAATTATCCCTTTTCTTTTTTTTGGGGGGCAAAGCCTTTTCCAGGTAACCGACACTCAACCTCCAACACGATTGTTTCTTTCTCAGCTCTTCATCCGTCAGTTGCAGGGTTACAGTATTTATCCACCCATCGCCTCACAGAAACGAGGTCGAAAAGGGTTGAGAACTCTGCAATGCACCGGCCACGACGAGCCGCGGGGCCGTTACGCTGATTGATCAACCCGGTGTGTTGAAGGAAATGGGTGTCGCCGTGTAGTCGATGGGCGGTGCTCACCAGATGGTGCTGAGCAAGCAGGCGAAGGGGGTTGGGGGGGGGCGGGGGGTTAATGTGATCAGGGCACGCTCCTGTGTGCCTGCTTCGCTCGACACACGGTGGGCTGTTTTTCGAAGGGACAATGACACGGCCCTGTGACGTTGTTCCCTTCGGGCTAACCCCCAGAGCAGGGACGCCATTTTCCCCTCAGCGCTTAAAGCTCCGCCTAACTCAACTCTCCAGCTAGCATCTCCTTCATCCTGTTCTGTCCGTCTCATGGGAAGCCCTCCCCATCTGCCACCCCACATGCAAATGGAGCCCACTATGTGGCCTCCTGGGACGCCGTGTCTAAAGAGCAACACTATAATACGGTTTTACGTACTTTACGCTGGACTCATCGAGCCGTTGCTCTTTTCCAGGTTGACTCGAAGTAAGTGAACAGATACATGCAGGGGCCTTTTTTTTCAAGGACACTTTGAAAGGGCCCTTGGGAGGCTCGAACCCTTACCCTGACCTTTATGTCACTAGACCCTCCCCCTACCCCCAATACACACACACACACACTCACACCAGTCACCCTCCACAGCCATATCTGCGAGGTTACTCCTTGGAGCCACCTCAGCCCTGTGTGTGTGTGTGTGTGTGTGTGTGTGTGTGTGTGTGTGTGTGTGTGTGTGTGTGTGTGTGTGTGTGTGTGTGTGTGTGTGTGTGTGTGTCAAAAAGGAGAGAAAAGTGGGAAGTTACTTTTCAGATACAATTTAAGTCAGTAGCAGTTGATTAACAGGTGATTTAAGTCATTCATTCAACAAACTCTTAACATATGCTGAAGATTTACTGTCTTTTTCTGTTTGTGTCCTTGTAAATTATTGTTCGACAAAAAGATTTCAAGACCTCATGGTGGTCCGTTGTAATGCTCTCTTTTTAACTTTAGATTGATGAAAATAGTATTTCATTAATCCAAGATTTTTTTTTAATTATTCAATAATTTGTATAATTGCTCATTTGAAATTTGTTAAATCACATTTTTAATGAAAATGCAAAAAAAAAGAACCTTTCATTTTCTGTACAGTGAAAGACATTCATAGCCTCAAAAGAGGATCGGTGGAGTTTCTTTCTCTGCCTCCCATCAGCCTGTGTTGCACACAGCACCGTGGGTCGATGGATCAGTGGGCCGCCCACTCTCTCCTCCTACAGCTCAGCGCGCGCCTCCTCTATTTGGCCTCCTGCCTGGTCTATTTGCAGCATCCTCTTCTCAGGCTCATCTTTTCGTTTGTATCCTTTCGATGCAGATATCAGGAACGTCACACATAAACAATAAGCCAGTGCGGCCGTGTTGCTCACACAGTCCCGTGTTGCAAGACAATGCAACTCAATAAAAACAAATAACATTTACGCTTGGTCGAAAAGTACAACAGCGGGCGGTTGAATCGCTTGTAGCCTGCGGCACAAATAAAGCCGAAGGATTCTGTTTTCTCTCCTCCCTTGGGACAGATCCCTCGTCTCTATTGATCAGACTGCAGGCTGAAACCTACTGAATACCAGACTCCATGCAAGGCAAGGTCATGTAGAGGCTTAAAATCCTCAAATGGATTACACGCTGCCCTTTGACTTCAAGACCTGTAACAACAAAAGGAACATGTTTAAAGGATGAATGATTTTTTTTTTTTTTGGTTTCTTTCTGTAGAATAACATCACGCAGGTTCCGTCTCTGCGAATAGACGGAAAAATAAATAAAAAAGGCACATGTTTTATGGGACAACTAATCAATAACTCTCAATTTCTCCGCTCCGCAGATGGCAGGTTGCACCATATGCCCCGTTCTGTCGGAGCAGATGTCACCGGCTCGATGGCTCCGCTGACCGGAGAACGCAAGTCCTCTGCCCCCATCCACTCCAGCCAGCCCGTCCTCTTCACCTTTGATGTGCCTGTTCGCCACACACACCACAGCTCGCTGCCCAACAGTGCACCCCAGGACTACCTCCTCCTCCACCAGTGCATGAGCAGGAAGACGGAGAGTGCACGGTAAAGGTCTCGACCCTCTGGCTCTGGCGTCCTGTGTCAGTTTCCTGTTATCCTTTAATGCAGGTCAACGTACAGGTTTACGGCGCTTCCTCCGTTTGGATTCTCCTAAGAGTCAAAACTACCGTTGTTGGGGAAAATTGTGTGTGTGGAAATGTTGTAACGCTTTTCACGAGTGCTTAGATTGCGGAAGTACCAATTTTTTTACAGAAAATTGAGTACGGATAATATGGCAACACGGATACTATTACTCTCCCCTTTTATTATTTTAAGATGACATGAATGATTTTGGTTACCCCGCTCTGTGAACAGTCAGTTATCTGGGCTGTAGGCTGAGTGGGGGAACAAAAAGAACCAAGTGTTTATGTGAAATGCACTGCTGAGTTTTCCATTAACATTCACCTCGCCTCCTCCTGCCGCCATGCCCGCTTCCAAGAATCAAAAGGCAGCTTAAATAATGATGCCATTCAGCAGATAGCCGGCACAGTAGATGATCAATGAGGTTGAGGCAGCAATTCATCACTCCTATAGGTTTAGACCCGTGGGTGGGGGGAACTGCCCTCTCAGGCTCACAATTTGCACATAAATCTGTGAAACTGAACCTCACAATCCATCTCATCAGCTTATGCAGATATTTCTGTCACTACCTCGGCTTCTGCTCCGTGCTTCTGCTAATTAAGACGCAGGGTTTGATTCACGTCAGCGTGAAACTCGACTGGTCCGATCACCAATGGTATCAATTAATCCACAGCCACAATGATGTAAGGCAGAGTAATGAACAAGATCATTGATTGATTGATTGATTGATTTGAAATCTTGAGCAGACGGAGGAACAATTGATGAAACGCGACGCGCCGCCTGACACAAGAAGAAAGTCCGTTAGAGCAAAACGTTATGTCAATATTAATTGTATTACTTTTGATGCACGTTCATTCGAAATGGTTTAAATCTCTGATCAAGATTGAACGCCACCGGGAGAAACCTGCAGTGCAGCTAACACGTGCAGCACATCTCGAGGGAGATCAGCGCAGACACGAAGAAACGACAAATTGAGGATATCTTTGCGGCGGCCAACTAGATCGGACCATTGCTCGGCTAACTGGCAAGAAATGTCTAAGCTGTAGGGTTGCTCTAGTTGGCACTCAAGGTCAAGCTCTGCGAAGGAGCAAGGATAAATGAGGCATGTCCCTCGGGTGTCTCACCAAAGCGGAGCCACTGTGGGAAAGTCACAAATGTCCTCTCCCTGTTAACATGGCAGAAAATATGTAAACACGTCAGCTTTTCAGGGAAATGTTAGATATACTTAAATTGAATGTGAATGCTGGAGCTGCTCAAATGTGCTGTGGAAGGGATGACAATGTGTTTTTTTGGGCTTTTTTGTTTTGTTTTACTATGTCGTTTCTTGAAATGCTACAGTGCCATCTAGTGGATGTGTGCGTCGTTTCATTGGTATTTATAGGCTGGCATTGGAGTGTGAGACAGATGTCTGTTTTGGAAGGAGCATTTAGGCTCTGTGGAAAATGGGGACCATAAAGACTTAATGTGTGCGTTCCTGTAATATGTGTATCCCTTCTATCCATGTTGCAGGAGTGCCAGTTTCTCCCAGGCCACGCGAAGCAATCTGTTTTTGGGGAGCGACTCGGCGGCGCAGAAACTCTCCCATGGCTTTTCCCACTGCCTCAACGGCATGGGCGCCCAGTTGCACGGCTTCTACAGCCTGCCCAAACCAGGCAAACACCAGTTACCGGGGCTCGACGACTCCCCGCCGGAGGCCTGCTACGTGCTTCCGCGAGGTTTCAGCTCCGAGGCGCCGGCTCACAGCGCCCTGGGCGACCCGGATCTGGAGAACGAAGAGGAGGTTTACACGTTCAACACGCCCTGCAACGCCCTCGCCACCTTGCACAGCAACGAACGGCCGACTGACAATTACGACCTTCCCACGCCGCCCGGCTCCTTCTACCAGATCCCCCGGACGTTCGATAAGAATCACAATGCCTTGACCTCCTCCAACTCTGAGTCTTCCAGTGCTCCTCCTCCCAGGCCCCCTAAACCCAGCCAGGGTTCAGAGGGGCAGTGGGGGAGTCCCCAGTCGGTGGGGAGCCAGAACGGAGACGTGGAGCCCGCCGTGTCGGTTATCCCACGCAGGAATACTCTCCCCGCTGTGGAGAACATCCGGCTGCACAGAGGTACGCTGGATGCAAAAAGTGCTTTGACAGCTTTCCTGATACGTCGCTTCTCAGCGGCACTCGTTTCCTTTCAGTTGACACATGCAGATGCTTTTGAAATTGCACATTTGACCCGTTTCCTGTTTTTCAAACGCACGTCTGACTCCATCGGGCCTCGTTCTCTTGTGGTGCCGCGGAGACTCTGTGTGCTTCCTCTCCCCCCCCCCATCTCACTCACTCTTTCCCTTTTCCTCTATCTCTCATTGTGATGCTTTAACGCCAGCAGCTGAACAGAAAACAAACGGGCCAGTCTGGCACACTGTTCTGTTGAGACGCTAATGAAATTCAAGCCATACAGCTCCAGAATGCCTCGTTCCAGCCTGATAAGCAACGGGGGAGAAAAAGAAAAAGCTCTCGCAGGCACAGTGTGCGGCCTCTTATTATGCGGTGTTCGCCAAGCCCGTGCTCAGGCCTTGTATAGCCAGAGACTAAGGTGGACCGCTGACCCTTGTTAGTGGGGGCTGCAGGCTGTCCACACACCTGCGCAGCCAAGTTTAATTATAACCCAGTGAAGCATTTAATAAAATGACATCTCTGTCTTTCTCATTAGAGAAAAGCTGAGCATTTTCATCTTCGGGGCCTATCTTTGGGTCGGTACCATTTTACGTCTGTCGTAAACACGGATCTCTCTCCCCTCGCTTCTTTTCGCAGGCTCCTCCTTTGAAACCAACAGCCATCACCGTCCCATCCACTTCAACAACTCGGGCCAGTCTGTGGAGTCTGTGAATGATGGGTTCAGCTCCTACCTGGTGAGTCCCTCTCTCCCTGCAGACAGAAGCTGTGCGGCATCATAAACTAGGAGAGGCCTTTCTCCTACATGTATTCACTCGGATTGAGTGCTGCAGTTCTCCTTGCAATGTTGAGCGTGAGAGTTGAGAGTTTCAAGAGAGTAACGCGCCCGCTCTCTCTTTTTGACAACAGAGAACTAAAGCGCCGCTGACTCGCTCAGACAGCGGCAACTCGGATGACAACTATGTGCCCATGAATCCCGGCTCCTCGCCGCTCAGCGCTGCCCAGGCTGACAGCCCTAAAAATATCTACATCCCTATGAGCCCCGGGCCACATCACTTTGATTTCCCGGGATTCTCTGCAACGTTACCTGCCCGCAAGGGGAGCAGCGCCTCCCTGTGTCACCGGCCCAGCCGCCTCAGTGATGTCACACCACCACCCATCAACCGCAACCTCAAACCGAACAGAAAATGTGAGTTTTTGACGGGGCCGGAGCTCAGCGCTGATTTCAAAGTTCCGTGTGTTGTGTTGTTTTTCCTGTCGCGAAGTCGGCGATGTTTTCGTTGACGGCGCCTGCTCTTGTTTTCCACAGCGAAGCCAACACCTCTGGATTTGAAGCACAATGGGATCATTGATGAGCTGCCATTTAAGAGCCCAGTCACAATGTCCTGGTCACGGCCCATGTGAGTCTAGTGTCATGTCAGGTTACCTAAGGCCACTGACCGACACACACACACACGCACGCACACACCAAATACATGTCTGCCTGTCAGAAGGTAGAAGCCCTCACTGTGCTTTCTGCTTTGCTTCAGGCCTGCTATGAACTCCATGTCGTCCCAGCATTGTCGACCCATCTCCACGCAAAGCATCACCAGCACAGACTCCGCAGACAGCGAGGAGAATTATGTGGCTATGGTGAGACCCCGATATCCCATCAGGAGCGCACGTCGTTTTCTTTGTCTTTTTTTGTGTCTTTGCCGTGTGAGTGAAGCCTCGCTCTTTGGTCCCTATTAGCAGAACCCAGCGTCTACCTCCCCAGCCGTGAGCGGCACCAGCAGCCCGGCCCCCAGGAAGTGTGGCAACGTGGACTACCTAGCGCTGGACTTCCAGCCTGGGTCGCCCAGTCCACACAGAAAAGTAAGCAGATGATTTTGTCCACTCAATTTGTTCTTCGTTTGTTCTTTTTTTCCTACCGAGGTGCAGTTTGCATCGCTGCCCGGGAGCTCACTCCGTGTTTATTTATCGTTTCGCAGCCGTCTACATCGTCCGTGACCTCTGACGAGAAGGTGGACTACGTGCAAGTTGACAAGGAGAAGACCCAGGCACTGCAAAGCACCATGCAAGAGTGGACCGATGTGCGGCAGTCTACTGAACCTGCCAAGGGCGTCAAGTCCTGACACGAACCTGCGCAAAACAATGACCTTCAGTCCAACCAACCTGAACTCGAGCATCTCTAGTGTCTATCATCGCTATGAATACTGGTTGGGCTTCATTTAAGACTGAGTTATTTGGACAAAAAGCCATAACCTATCCTATGCCTGTTCTCTGTGATGATTTTTACTGCAATGCACTGCTAACGTGCAGGATATCAGGCCATATACAGGTGAAGCGTCCTGCCAAAGCTCCTCGTGCAGACTGTTTCATAGCAGTCCGTGGACAATTGATATCTCCTTACTTATCAATTCATCCTTTATGAAGCAAGCGTGTTCTCCTCAGCTGCCCCCCCACCCCCTGCCCCCTCTGCAGCAGTCAAACATTTTGCATCAAGCAGGTCATTTGCCCAATTGCTGCCATTTAAAGGGGCAGCAGAGGCTAACTGGTCGATAACCATATTAATATACTGTAAGAGTACGCTCACTGGTCTCAGGATTGCCAAGATGCACTCCAATTTTGGCATGCAGGCTGACTCTTTTTCACTTCAATCTATCATTTGTGCTGAACCTTGCAGAAGCAGTGAGGAGATTATTTTCACTGCCGGCAATCATTTCAGCTTAGCAGTGCATGTCTGGTAAGAGGAGGGGGGAGAGGGGGGAGGGGGGGCAGCCTTACAACTACGGAAAGGCTTGTGTCAGAAGCCCTAATGATGACTGCAGATGGCTGATGCCTCGGTTTCAATTAAGTATGAGCGCAAAACATATTTAAAAGCTGTCGGGCTGGATGGCAGGCCAATTATTTCAAGTCGGGAGCGTCTTCAGAATGAAGAAAGCAAGGCCGACGAAAAGGAGATGAAGGAGAAGAAAGAGCATCTTGCATCTTTGTTGGTTTAACTTTAGTGGGCCATTTTACTTCAGCCAGTCTTCAAATACATTTCATTAAAAATTATTGAGTTGGAGGACGTAGAAACCGAACAGGGGGTGTCCTTTCCAAGAAGTTCAGATAACCCCTCGCTCATCTGTCCCTAGAGATAAATAAAGGAAAGCCATGAATACAAGCAAAGGAGAATAGCATAATTATGCTTTCCTGATGTATGTCTTTGGTCTTTGATACACTACAGCTATCTGTCACCGGAGAGTAATTGTTTTCTGTGTGTAAATTATTAATAGAATGACATATTTGCAGCACATCTTGTTGACTGTTTGTTGCACTTGTCTGAGACAAAATGTGCACTACAGTAATGTAACAATGTGCTTGCTTTTCTTGCAAAGGCACCGTGCCACAATGAAGATTTGCCAGTGATCCTAGTCACTTAACAATAGTTTAGGAAAGAATGTTTTTATCTTTCTAAACTCTTTTATTTGTTTAATTTGCCTTACATTGTTATTTAAATTTTGCCTTTTTATAAATTCAATTAATTCACAATATTGTGAGAGCCATATTGTATTTCGGACAGCTGAATGAACAGTTTCTAGTTAAAAGTCCAGTATTCCATTGTGGGCCGGAACCACTAAAGGGCGAATAACTATTTGACCTTTCTATGAATTGTGTGGCCATGCAGTGAGATGGTATTATAGATTATTTCATTAAGATTTACTTCTTAATGTTTTTCTACCATTTTTACTGCTTTTTGTATTCTTTTTATCATTATTTTTTACTGAAATGTGTAAGCAGGTAATATTCATGAGGATGGGGTGAGGCTAAATTAAGCTACGTTTGTTACAGCCTGTATTCAATTCTTTTTCTATATAGATTTTTTTTTATTCCCTAAAACTGCATTTTTATAATCTATACATGAAATGGGGAGGCTGGCAGCTGGAGTTGCACTGGCAAACGCCCTTTTCGGGCGAACTGTGATTCACAAAGAGTGAGAGGGGGAAAAGAGAAAACTGAAGAAAAATCTGTCAGCCTCTGAAGTGAAGTGGACGTGTAATTTATTATCTAGATACCCGTTGTAAGCAGGACAGCTGTGTACGTGTCGTGGTAGATTGTAAGTGGTAGTTTGTTAAATGGCAGCCTGACGTGGCGGGATTGAAAAGACTGCTCTGATTTGCTGTCACACTGTCACTGGGCTGACGTACTGTACTACTAGTGATCATTTCGTAAACCACTGTTATTGCTACTGTTGTAAACCATTTGCTGATTGCTTGTGTGTTAATTTATTAATTTATTGTGCATTTTGCAGTTGCTATTTGTAAAAAGGAAAGAAAACAACTATCAAACATGGAAAACCTTCTCTCTACTAACATTGATGTGTGCAAACTGTGTCGATTTTGTGAAGCAATATGACAGACGATGCCAGTGCGATGGCGATGTGGTACAGTTCATTTGGGATACACAATAATACAAGACTTTGCTATGCCTGTATCATGGTAAACGTAAACTGTGGACATGGAATGAGTCAAGAAGTGAAAGTTTGGTGTTACAGTTCCTCTTTAAATAAAACGCAAAACACTGTATCCTGGCGAGCAGTTTGTCCCTGTCCTGCACATTCTAGATTGGTGCTGTGATGTTGAAGTCTGCTGCCCCCTGTTGTGTCGCACAGCAGCTGCAGCCATTGCTAAAGATAAATAACATTAGTAACTTGATACATACACAAGAGGTTTCAGTCAGGAGTTATGCCTGCACATAGAGGGGTTTTCTGACCAGACATTTACAAATTTGCAAAGCCCCCCCCCCCCCCCTCCACACACACATACACACAATTGAAATTCTTCAAGACATGTGACCAAGTTAAAAAATTATGAATTTAATGTATTATTTCTTCAATATAGCCAATGCAATGGGTTTCTCCTGGATCTGTTAAAATGGTGTGCTTGTTGAATGAATGTCATTGTACTTCATGATGTGACTTAATTTCCTGTAATGGCAGATGACTAAAATGTTGTTGACCTATTAATACAATAAAATTGACTAATCGGCTAAAAATGTCTATGTCAATGACAGATTGACCATGTGACCAAGAGGGGGAGCTGAAAAATAAATTGTGCAACGGAAATAATTTCTACTTTTTCCTTTCCCATGAATATATGATTCTGGCCAGTGCGTCCACCTGATAAATAAAATGCCCTGCTGGTCTGCAAGAGTCTTGTTATAGTTATGAATAGTTTATTCATTCTCATTGTCATTCATTTTCATCAAGTATTCATGAAATCCATTCATTTATCCCTGACGAAAACCAGAGTGAGTGCCAGGTTGCATCACCACGCATGCTTAATTCATTACTACCTCTTTAAAGGGCATCAAGGTAAGACTGTTACCACTGCTTCGCTGTCCTCTTTGCTTCTTCCTGTGTGGACTTTTCATGTTTTCCACACGTCTTTGTGGTTTTCCTGTGGGGCTTTCGGTTTCCTTCTGCTTCAAAAAAAAAACATGCATCCTGTCTCTGTGAATGTCTCCGTGTGATTGCCTGCTAGTTAGTGTGAACCTTGGTGTGCTGGCCTCCACCACGAGGTCTTCATCCACAGTGTGGAGCAGTCGTTCTCGACCTGTGGGTCGCGGGCCCGTTTTCTACCGTCCGGACGGAGTAGTTTGTCCGCTCCGACGGGCTTGAAAGGGACGGCTGCGCGAGGAGTGGGCCACCTGTGCGTGCTTTTGGGGGGCTCGCGGCAGCTCGTTGGAAGAGTGACAACCATAGCTGACCTTAACGTTGTCCAGGTTCAAGGTACTGAAGAACACACTGCATAAATGGCTTGCAGTTCACTTCAGGCACAGCAGCTGCCTCCTGTTTCCAGAAGGAAAATGAAGGACCCTATTTCAATGTAAGCTTTTCTGGGGGGACAACGGTTAATCGCTTTAGTAGTTTTCTTCATTACAGTTTAACCGTCGTGCTTGGGTTAAACGTTGTCTTCCTAGAATGTTAAGTGTAAGTGTGATTTCAAATGTGCGCTGTAATTGTGCATGAATACGGTTCGTGCTGACAAGTCAAACTGGAGAACACGGTGGGAGTTTAAATGAGCTGCAACATGTATTTCAACTTCACATCATCAAGGCCCAAATTGGTTGTCTGATTGTCTTGGCACCGGATGACAATTCTTTTTTTTTTAGGCAATTTTCTATTTTTTTTTAAAGCTTATTGTTTTGTGTTTTGAAGCCTGTCATTTTATGTATGTCCAGTGTTGTGTGTTTGTAAAACCTTCACCCTGCCTTCTCGCCCAGGACCACCTTATAAATCCCCTTCACATCTCTGTGAGATCACACTGCTTTAAACAAGGGTAAATGCATGAACATGGTACTGTTAAAAACAGAACAAAATATTAGTTTCACCCGACGTTGCATTGACACCACGTCACCGGGGGTTTATGGGACATTTGGAGTTTGTGTTCTGTTGTTTTCTATTCTAGTTAATTATTTTTGGATCTACCAACATCTGAAGCGCCTTCTGCTCTTTGTACCGACACACCACAAACACTCACTCGTCACACACCATCACAATGAACTATTTCTAACCTTCCGCCCGCTTCGTCAGCTTTAACTTACGCAACGCGCAGCGCCGCCGCCGCGGTCGCGTCCGCGCACACTAGAGGGCGCGATTGGACCCCGCGACACCCTGGCGGGTGCGTTATGTCAGGGGAGGAATGTTGGTACAATGGGGGTCTGTGCATTGTAGTTCCGCTATCGCCTCGGTGCGCAACACGGACAGACGGTTGTCAATGGGCTGCTGGAGAGACGGATCCCGGTCGGTGCGTGCCACGGCTCCCCCGCGTTTCCGCTGCGCGGTTCCTGACTTGTAATTTACCACCAGATCCTTTTCACCCGGGTGGAAAGGCAAAGAGACGGAGAGAGAGAGAGAGCGCGAGAGCGAGCACTGAAATCCAAACAAAAATGCCGTGAGTCTTGGAAGTTTCGTGAATGTGGCGCGTTGGTCGATTCTCCCGTTCTGGGGAACTAAGCGCTGACTTTTAATTTTTTTTAATTTTTTATTTATTTTACAGTTCGCAGTCTCTATCCTTTCCCCCCCCTCTCTCTCTTTCAAAGGACTATTTCCCAAAGGGTGCCACATTTGAGTGAAAGTAGGATGGCGTTCCCACCGATGGAACCGAAGTTGTGCGTGCCGTGGTTTTGAATCGTCCAGACGCGCATTACGTACTGAATAGAATTCATCTGCGAGCAGCGGTCGCGTCGTTGAGCTCCAGCGGATCTCCTCCAGCTGTGAATCCACGAGCTTTTTACGTGTTTGTAAATCATTTCCGTTTTAATTACAAGCCGACACCGCAGCGCGCTGCTACCCACCCCGAGGAAGCGATCACTTATACGAACCTGCAACATTGGGACTTTTGGACGCCTCCGAGGAGCCATTGTGTGAGTTTGCACCGACCGTATCTCACTTTCCGAGCCAGCATCACTGTAACCTTCCTGTCAGTCTGGCATTAGAGCGAACACCAGCGGCTCCACCGTAATTCTCTCAAGTGAGCCGACGGCGCTGGCAGTGTGGTGTTCTTCCTTCCACATGGGATCGTAGCCGCGTGCACGCGTCTTGTGTCCTTCCATGCCCGCGCCGTGGTCCATTAGAAGCTCTACCAACTAGTCGGGGTTCCCGCGGGCATGGGAGAAGCGACCCCTGCTCAGTCCGCTGCAGGGGCGTTCGCACCCATGTTGGGTGTCGGTCTAGGAACCATGCCCGCTGGGGTCGGCAACGGGCCCGTGGGGGCCACGTCCAGAGGCTCCGCGGTGCCGCAGCTGCACAGCGCCATAGTGGAGCGTCTGCGCGCCCGCATCGAGCTGTGCAGGCGGCACCACTCCACCTGCGAGAACCGCTACCAGAGGGGTCAGGCCGAGAGCTCGGACCGGGAGCACGACAGCACGCTTCACCTGCTCAACATAGTCCACCAGGGGCCCGGGAACCGGAAGACGAAGGGCGGCCGGGGATCGAACCAGCAACCTCCAGAGTACAGCAGGGCCAACGGAGAGCCAAAGGGCGCCGAGGGCGAGCAGAAGATATCCACGCGCATAGCGGTGAGTTTTGGAGAGACCCAGTTTGATGACTGTGGTGTTAATGAATGCGTATCATTTACTGCCAACAATTGTGATGATGATGATGATGATGAAGAAGCCAGAGGGTACTTGTGGCAAACCGTTACAGGACAGCTTGTAATAACATTGACACAAATTCTTCTTTATATCTCAATCTGCCGCTCAGCTGAGAGCAGTATTGATAAAATGTCACGTTTGTGCACAAATGACCCCAAGAAGGGTCCGTCCGACCTCACGGGACAACGGAATGGACACCAGAGAGCCATGAGCTCTCGGCTCCTGGTCCTGCTGACGCAGCGTCAGGGCCTTGAAGCGGACGGGATGGTACGGGATCACGAAAGGGGGCTGGCGAGGCCCTCCGTTCAGAGGAAATCGTTTCGGGACAACGGGGATGTTTCGCATTTAACGGCAACCGTGTCAGCATCGCTCTGCAGCCGACCCCAAGAGAGGGATGCAGATGCTGCGTTTTAAAAAACAAACCAAAAGACATCTAAGATGCACACTACAGAAACGTCTGTTTGCTTTGTGTCGATTTGAGTTACTAAACCCTCAAGAGGATGCCACCTGCCATCGAGCAGGGTTTTGTCAAAGAGTTTGTTAACAGCGTGGTTTATTTTTGTTTCTGAGCGATCCTGTATCGCGGAAGGAGCCGTGTCACCTTATTGGGAGCATCTTTAGAGGAAAGGATATCGGGAATGAAGGACTGTAAAGTTTTGGGGATATTCCCCCTTAACAACAGACCTGTGGTAACTTAACCGAAACCCAGCGGGGCGTTCTGTGTGCCTGCTAGTGCTGATAGGACCGACTTCCTGTCAAGAGCACAGCCAGTGAGAGGGGAGATTTATTTAGTTGTTTTCTTCCATTGGACATGAGGGAGTTCAGCATCCAGAGTATGAATTATTTCCCAAGCAGTGTTTCAATATGATGTCAAAAGGGTGAAAGCTCGCAGATGTTCCCGCTCTAGATTTGCTGGAGATGTTGGATGGAAAAATAAACAATGTAAAAAATGTTTTTCCAGCAAAGCCGTTAAAAGGGCAACAATGTTCCGTCAGCTCATTCATTGTCATCCCAGGGATTGAGCAGGATATGTCATGATATTTAAAAAGTGCATATTCCACAGTGATGTATGGTGCCAACATAAAGGGCAGCAGAGCTTCATTGGCTTTCCACACGTTTAGTTTTCATGCTGTTAGGAAGCGTACAGCCGTGGAGGCTGATGATGGGAGGCAAGACGCAACGTGGTGGATTATATTGACTGTCTAAAAGAGGTCAGGGAACATCATTATCATGTGCTGTTTCAGGGTTACTGATGTTCACTCTGGAGTAGCGTGTTCTACATAAAAGTGATGAGTGCAGCAAGATGGGGAGGAGGAAATGAGATCCTGGCGTACATGTTTCTATCAACCCTGAGGTTAATGTTTTTTTTTTAAAAATTCGTGGTGATGGGTGACGCAGAACAGCAGCCGTTGCCGAAGTTCCCGTTAATACATTTAAACGGCATGTTTCCACTTTAAATCCTGCATAGCTATCTCTTGCAAATTAAACCAAATAACATCTAGAATAACTTGAAAATAAATACTTTCCTTTTAATCTCTCACTATAAACAGAGTATGGCTTGTGTTTCCGATACTTCCAGGAGGGCAGTTGTAGTTCAACGTAGGACATTTTTCCGAGTTTAGGAGTCAGGTTCCTACAATGGTCACATCTGTGCATGTTATTGACTGTTCACATTGGAATTTGTGCTGGAAATGTACACCGAGCGAGGACCAAACAACACAATGGATCATGCCTGCCTGGGAGTGCAGAGTGAGCAGCACTTAACAACGGTGCTCATTGAGACCAGATTAACAAAGGATATTCTTCTAGATGAAATTGGAGAAATGGAGACTAAGAAAGACGAGAGCTTACTTATCTGACGACTCAGAAAAAATGATTTTTCCATAATGCCCGCGTGAACCGGTCGAAAGCTGTTGGATATTTATGGATTCATAGTTTGCGTTCTTTATTTATTTCTGCACTAACCGTCCTTCTATCTTTTCCCTTCATACCTGCGTCTGTGAATGCATTCGGCAGAGAAAATGGGTCACGCTAGAGCTTACAAAACCGTAGCCCCGTATTACGATGTACAGACGTTGGGTTTCATCAGATCAGCCGCAGTAATCATCCTGCATTGCCTATCGGCAGGGACACGGAACGAAAGCCTGAGAAACAAATATTCAGCCGCACACTGCATGTAGCACGCCGTGCATTGTCGCGCCCTATTATCACGCCTTTTTAACAAATGGCTCACTAAGCGCCTTCCTGAAAGATGTGCTTGGCCATGAAACAGTTTGAACCACGAGGCCCCCATAAAAGTGTTTACAGCCACTGAATACATTTCCGGCACGTGTTTACTTTAAGGCAAACAGGCCTTGAAAAAGCAGTAGGCAAGTTAAGCCTGGTGATTAACAGTCCCGCGTGCACGGGGAGGATTCTGTAATGACCCCGTCTTGTTCTAGAGACCGATCTGAGGAGTGTAAAGCGCTCAACGGGGAAAGTGCTTTGTGTGCCGATGTCGTGTTGTCCCACTTGCAACTCACTGTGTCGTTCTGGTCATCTCGTGGTCCAAAACAGGAATCACTGAACCGCTTAAAATCTGGCCAAAAAACTTGTGTGTGTCTCTCTCTCTCCTTGTGTTTCCTGTCACCATCTACTGTGAGCTGCCCCGTAAAGGCGCAGCGCACAAATACTCCTCAAGCTTTATGTGTTTGGCACGATTGCGGCATCCTGTACAAAAGGTCAGCCCCGGCAACGGCAGGCCACTGTGCTTTTGTCCGATCAGATGTTTCAGGTTGGATGGTTAGCAATATTATTAAGAGGGTAGGACGCCGAAAAACACACACTGATGTTTACTGTTTCAGACTTTGCTCTGATTGGCATTGTGTCCTTTGAAGGAGTTGCCGACCACCATATGTTATTGTCTCGCAGATTTTGATAGTAATTCATGATTTTTAAATGCTTTACCTGCGTCACAAACATTCTTTTTTTAAATGTATTTCTTTTCCAACTATCACAATTATTCGCATTTTTTTTTTTGTTCTTATATTTCAAGAACATTTTGTTCAGCCAACGTTGCAACATAACCCACTTAGTCACACCTCCTTAATCCAGTGCATCAGTCCAGTGGATTGACGGCATGGACAAAAAAGAAAGGCCCGGCTACTCTCCCGTGGTCATGTATGATGGATGAAGCGTGTGTTTGTGAGAGAGAGAGTGAGGTGTGGTGGGCACTATAAGTGCTTCCTGGCATACCCTGTTTGGCTGTTGAACCGCTGAACGAGAGCTGCCGGTGGTCTGATCTCAGCCTGGCTCGCCGGAGCTGTGAAACAATTAGCCCGGGTCCATGGGGGCCACCCACAGTGGAGCCCACAGCTTTACCCGACCCGGCGGATGAAGTAGGGCTCCGTGTTCATCCCACAGATCACTCCCATGTTGTCATGGGACGGGTGAAGTTTTTCTTCTTTTCTTTTTAGCGGTAGCTGGCTTTCAGTTGGTCTGGATGCTGAATTACTTTTTAAGTCCCCTTTAGTGAGGCGTGGAATCGACGTGGGGGCCGTTTTATTGACAGCGCGGCCGCGCCGTAAGCCTGATGTGATTAGGCTTGTTCCATTGTGTAGAGATGAGTCGTGCAGCTCATGGTGCTCTGATTGAAACACATTAAGATAGGCCTTCACATACTGAAGGAAAGCCATCCGGTAATCTCCTCCCTCTATTTGGCATTAGTGCTTATTCCAAGATGGAGTTTAAACACAGCAGCAATCCAATTCAGCTCTTACATTGTGCTTTTTGTAGGAATATGTATTTAAAATGTCCTAATCTTAATGACTTGCACTTGAATATGTGTCACATACTCTAGTTTACACAGCGTTTGCACATGTGCTATTTCATGATGGTTAAAAAGTAGCTTCCTCAAAAGGCTGTTTATCAAGAGATCACATACGGTAAAAATATAACACGATTTTCAAAAATTGTACACAAGTGGCAGATAGAAATGCATCATCCTCCATTTACAATCCGCCATAGATTTCTTACAATATAATGATACCATCTGACGTGAGAGTACGCGGTGCATGTGGTTGGAGTGGGAGCTAATTTGCTTTATAGATATTTATTTTTATGATCAGTTGTTTTGAGTATTTCCAGATCCATTTGAGGCGGTAACATTTTTTCCCGAGGTGAATAATAATCTGATTTCTCTCCCTCCCCATCGTGTCTTCTGATTGACGCCAGATAAACAGCAGGGGTCTTCAACGCAACTTGCCAAGGGAAACATGACAGCGTCTCTTTAGCTGAAATGCATCAGCCAGATCCGCAGACTTGTGTAATAGAAGTGTGTGTGTGTGTGTGTGTGTGTGTGTGTGTGGAGGCATGTAACGTGATGTTCTGGACATTCCACAGTCCTATCCGATGGCGGTTGGTAAAGTTTTAGCACCGGCTAGATCTGCGCAAGCACAGCTTGTGTGTGAGGAAGGGGGGGGGGGGTAGTCTGTTCATATCACACACAAAGCGAGTGCTGCGCCCGGTCCGTTTCCAAGGAAATTGCTGCCTCTGGATGACATTTGTTTGGACAGTATGTTGATTCCTCGCTAAGCTACAGTATCGTCTTCTGGCTAAATCGCGCGTGAAATGAATGTCCCTGTGCCCCAGTAGGCGTCGTTTTAGGATCAACACATCAGCATACACGTGTTCGCCGCGACTTAACACATCAATTCTGTGGTTGTGATTGCGGCGTCCTCGAGGGAGGGCGCCAGCTCCTCCTCTGATTGGCCGACCCAGGCGCCAGATCTGTGAGCGGCAAAAAAAAAAAAACACAACACTGATAACTGTCATTTCTCAAGGGAGCTTTTATTTTCCAATCCCTTTTGAGATAATGACTGTTTACTGGAGATATTAAAACATTTAAAATTTCATAAACTACTGCTTTTTAATATCACCCAGTGTCA